ACTATGTTCGTGCCGTGTACTCTGCTTCTTGGGTGCATGAACTGACTTCGGATACATATACAGTACTTTTTTGTTTTCGTGAGGGGGGGTCTACAAAGGGGGGCGGGGGGCAGGAGGGAGGGGTATTGGGGGGGGGGAGCCTTTGCTGTGTGGGCCTGTGCTTGGTGTGCATATATCATTTCGTATTTCCAGTTGAGTTCCACTTGTTTCAACAAAGAGTTTCGGTTGGGGGGTGTTGTGGACTTCCATAATCTAGCTATGCACATTGCTGCTGAGATCAAGATGTGGTACGCAATTGCCCACTTTTCTTGAGTGATCATGTCAGGTGGGATAAATAGGATGCATAGCTCTAGTGTAAGTGATATTTGTGTTTGGATCGCGTCAGCTAGAGTGGCCTGGGTCTCTTCCCAGAATGACTGTAAGGCTTGGCATGACCATCATATGTGTGACATGTTGCCTCTTGCTTGTCCACATCTCCAGCACTTGTTGGAGGAGTTTGGCCATATCTGATTGATCTTGGTAGGCACTAGGTACCATCTATATAGTAGTTTGCGTTGTAACTCGAGATGGTTGGCACAGGAAGTGATGCCTTTGTGTGAAGAGTAAGCTTTGGCCCAATGTTCCAGAGGGATGGTTTTCCCTAGTTCCTTGTGCCATGCCTGTATGTACGTGTCAGTGAGTTTGATTGGTTCTTGGAGGAGGGTGTTATAATTTAAAGAGAGTAGTTTTTTAAGGGGCTTTGTGGTAATGCATGACTGTTCAAATTCCGACATGCGCTGTGCTAGTGTAGTCCCTGCCTTGGTGGGTGCATTATTGGATAAGTATGATTTTATTTGCAGGTACGCAAAGATTAGCTTGTGTGGAAGGTTGAATTCTTGCTGTAGGTCCGGGAAGGGTTTGAGACCCTTTTTGTTGTACAGTTGGCCTATAGTTTCAACGCCTCCTTGTGACCAAGGGTGGGTGTTGAGTGTCGGTATTGCCGCCCCTAGGGCGGTCAGGGGGGTTGCTAGTGGCGTTGGGTGGTAAAGTACCATTTTGTGTTTGGATATGTCCCATTGTTGTAGGATGCGTTGGGTCGTTGGTAGGAGATGTGTGGTGTCTTTCCTATGGTTTTAAGGGGTCCAGAATATGGAGTGTAAGGTCGGATGTTGGGCCCAGTAGTTTTCTATCTGTAGCCATTGGGGTGACGCTGGCCTTTGGCGTAAGTGCGGTATCACTGATAGTGCCGCTGCTCTGTAGTACGTATGTTGCCAAGTCCGGGAGGCCTAGTCCTCCATGGGTTATTGGTTTTTGCAGTATTTTAGTTGCTACTCTAGGTGTCTTATGTTGCCAGATGAAGCCTATGAGTAGTTTCGTTAGACTTTTGATGTAGTTCCCCGGTAGTTGTATTTGTAACGTTCTATACAGGTATTGCAATTTTGGCAGTAGAGACATTTTTATCGCTGCTATGCGTCCCACCCACGATAAATATTTCCCCTCCCAAGAGTCTAGAGTGGTTTTAAAGGTTGTTAATAGGGGTTGGTAGTTTAGTTGGAACATGGAAGTGGGGTTCTTAGCCATTTTGACTCCCAGAAACATAAGGTAGTCGTTTCTCCAGTCCAGTGGGAATGATTTTTTGAGAGTGTCCAGTTGAGTGCTATTTATGTTGAGGTGTAGGGCTTGTGTTTTAGTAACATTAAGTTTGTAGTGTGAAAGCTGCCCGTACTCCTTAATGAGGTGCATAAGGTTGGGTAGGGAAATTAATGGTTGTGTAAGGGTTAGGAATATATAATCTGCAAAGATACTTAATTTATATTCCTGTTGGTTGAGTGGTATCCCGTGTATTGCAGAGTTTGCTCTAATTTTGGCTGCTAATGGTTCTAATGCCAGCACGTATAACAGTGGGGATAGGGGGCAGCCCTGTCGAGAGCCGTTGTTTATAGTGAATTCATTCGAGCGGAATCCTGCATTTAGGACTCTCGCAGTCGGGTTGCTATATAGTGCCGCTACCGTGTTTGTGAATTGGCAGGGGAAGCCAAATTTTGTCAAGACCGTTTGGAGAAATTTCCAGTTAAGCCTATCAAAGGCTTTCTCCGCGTCAAGCGAGACTAGGAGACCGCTTAGATTTTTCCTCCGTATGCTGTGGATCAGATCTAACACTTTGCGTGTATTGTCTGCTCCCTGTCTGCCTGCCACAAACCCCACCTGGTCGTCATGGATCAGTGTTGGGAGTATCGACCCTAGGCGGCGGGCATATATTTTAGCGTATAGCTTAGCATCAGTGTTTAGTAGGGAGATTGGTCTAAAGTTTGGGCAGTGGGTCGGTGGTTTGCCAGGTTTAGGAAGTGTAATGATGTGTGCCAAAAGGAGATCTGCCGGGAGCGTCTTGTTCTGAGTGGCTGTGTTGAATAGGGAGGTCAGTGAGGGAGCTAGTTGAGTTGCGAACTCTTTGTAGTACGCATTCGTAAAGCCGTCTGGACCTGGTGCTTTGTTTTTAGGCAGGGTGCGTATGGCTTCGACCACTTCACTTTCCGTGACTTGGCTAGCTAGTTGGGCCGCTTGGTCTCTTGTGAGGGTCGGGAGAGGTATGTCTCGTAAGTAGGTCTCTATATCTTCGTCAGCGGGGGTGGGTAATTGGTTGGATTGTGCCAGATTGTATAGTTTGTCGTAGTAGTTAGCAAACGTGTTACTGATATCAATGGGGGAGATCACTTTTTTGTTATCGTGGGTGAAAATATGTGAAATCTTTGTGTTGGCTTCTTTTCTTTTCAGTCGTGCAGCTAACGTTTTGCTGGCTTTGTTTCCCTGTGCGTAGTGTGTGGAATTAAGTTTGCGGAGATTAAAACCTACTCGTTCTAAAGTGTGAAGTTTGATCTTGTCCGCAATGTCTTTAATAGCTTTTTGTGTTGTCGCTGTCGGAAGTGTTTTGTTCGCTGTTGTGAGGTCCGCTAGTTGTTTATGCCATGCCAGCCACTGTGTTTGGCTGGAACGTTTTAGTTGTGCTGCCCGCCTCAAAAGTAGTCCCCTAATGACTGTTTTGTGTGTTTGCCATACAGTGCTAGCTGTTGTGTCCCCTGTGCTATTCAGCGCGAAGAATTCCAAAATGGCTTCTTCGAGTTGCTTAGCGAAGGACTCGTCCGTCAACAACGTTTCGTTCAGTCTCCACGGGCTCTTGTGCTTGTAGTCATAGTTGTCTTTTAGGGTCAGCGTCAGTGGGGCGTGGTCAGACCACGAGATCTGGCCTATGGAGCAGTCAAGCACTTGGTCTAGGTGTTGGCTCTCAAGGTGAAATCTATCTATTCTGGTGTACGTATTGTGTGTGGAAGAGTAGTATGTGTAGTCCTTTTCCTGTGGGTGTAGGACTTTCCACACATCGTACAGTCGGTGATTATCCAGTAGTTTGAGGTATGTTGTGCATGCCCTGTAGTGTCTAGCCTGAGACCCTTTGGTTGCCGTAGAGGTCGTGTCGCAGTGGGGGTCTAGAATTTGGTTGAAGTCCCCACAGAGAACAAGAATGCCTTCCTGAATCGGTTGAAGTAGAGTTAGAATTTTATGCAGGAAATTCCTTTGGTTTGTGTTTGGTGCGTATATATTGGCCAGAGTATATTTAGTGTTGTTGATTGTGCATAGGACTATGATGTACCTTCCCTCCATGTCTTTCTTTGTGTCATGGTGTTGGAAGGAGACCGTTTTGCTGATCAAGATTGATGTGCCCCCAGTTTTTTTCCCCGACGTGGCATGGAACTGGTGTGGGTATAGGGCTTGTTTCACTGTGGGTGGGGATTTAAAGTGCGTCTCTTGAAAGCAAACGACATCTGGTTGATCCCTTTTAAGATCTCTGAAGAGGCAGTGCCTCTTGTATGGGGTGTTCAGCCCCCGGACATTTTAGCTTTGTATTCTCATATAGTGGTGCAACGGTGGAAGCTGTGCATTCGGCTATGATTGTATGTGAGCGGAGTTGTGGGTGGCTCGTGGGTCGTGAAGTGACTCTCTGTTGGTGTAGTGGATACCTGTCGCAGAGTTGGTACCAATATGTGTATGTGGACATAAGATGTTCATCAGCAAATCGTGCTGTCGATTTCCTCCGCACTTTGTTTACTCTGTGGCCTAGTGTAGGAATTCCAGGCTCTCTATCGGTGGGGTTGGAGGGGGATGGAGGGGGGGAGGAAACAGCGGATGAGTCGCACTGAGAGTGTGCGAACAACAACAGTGGTAAAACTATAACCCAGTTGTGGGTTGAGGTACCGAATATCGGTGCCATTTGGAGCGTGGTTGAAGAGTGTGATATAGGTCAAGTATTGGCCGTAGTTGGACGCTGTGACCTAGTATATCTATGAACAATGCCCTCATGGCTGCCAGAGAGGTTGTTTGCGATGGCTACCACTAAAGTTAATGGTCCCTTGTGGCTCGTGGAGCTAACTGTGGTTCTACATCAACATGCCTAACCGTCAAATACATTATAATGTTTAGCAACTGTGAGAAGTTAACATATAGTAATACCATATATGGGATCTGGAGCTTGGTAAGCATACTGTTGAGTTTTTTTTTTTTTTTATAAAATGTATATTGATATGCTTGAACCCTTTAGCATATACTAACAATTGACTTATAATAACAATATGGAGCTTCGGCTTCGTGCTGCTCAGATGTGTTCCCGTGTGCTGATTCCCCCTCATCGTGTAGTGTATGTGTGGGTGTGTTGCTGTAGTGTCTACCGGCTTCCCTCGCCCATAGTACACCCCTGTAAATTAATCCGGATGCCTACATGTTGTGATGCAAGAGTGGTGCGACAGTGTTGCTGGCAGAGATGTTGTGTGGTGTGAGTGTATGGGGGCATAGTCACCTGTCCGGCGGACAGTCATCTGTATACATGACAGATCAACACATAGTCTGGTGTAAAACACTTTTAGTCCAATTGAGTTCAATTGCGTGGAAACCACTTATCTGGATGGTTTTGCGCCATTTCAGCAGCTGTAGTGAGTCTCTTGGCATATGGAACTTCATCCCGTTACTAAATCTGTTTAATCTCTCCCTCCGGCTCGCTGTTTCTTCCAGTCAGAGTGTAGCTTGGTCGGGTGTTGCTGGTTGTCCTGCCGTGGGTGGGTGCTGGGTAGAAATGGTATGCCCCATTTCTTCAGGGCTTTCTTGCCTTCCTCCGGGGTGGTGATGGTATTAATAACTCCGTTCTTGTGAATGAGGAGGCGCACCGGGTGACCCCAGCGGTACGGCATGTCGTGTAGACGGAGCGCATCTGTGATCGCTTTAAATTCTCTCCTCTTCTGCAGAGTTCTTGCTGAGAGGTCGGAGTATAGTTGAATGGTGTTGTATGGGGCCGGGAGGTCCTTCCGCCACCTGGATGCCTGCATTAGCGCTTCCTTTGCGTGGTAATAGTGAAGACAGGCGAGTATGTCTCTGGGGGCTTCCTCCGGGAGGAATTTAGGCTTCATAACCCTGTGGGCCCTGTCAAAAAGGAGGACGTCCGCCGGGAGATCCGGAGCCAGGGTTTTAAAGAGATCCGTGAGGTGTGCTGCTATGTCCGCTTGTTTAATAGCTTCAGGTATACCTCGGAAGCGTATGTTGTGTCTCCTAGACCTATCCTCCAGGTCCATAAGTTTGTTTTGGCACGCTGACAGTTCTTGTTCCAGATGCTGGACATGGTCTGCCATATCATTGTGCGCCTCCGCGTATTCGCCCATGCGGTTTTCCATATGGGCAGTCCGGTCTCCCAACTCCTGGACGTCTTTTCGTAAGTCGGAGATTGATTTGTTAAAGTTGTGTAATAATTTCTCTGACATTTCGTCGAGACATGCTTGGAGGATAGCTTGTGTGACTGGGAGAGCTGTTTCCCCAGGGGATCCCTGTAGAGGGAGTGTGTCGTCGCCATCTTGGTCTGGCGCACTCTGGGCTCTTGGTGGCTGGTTTCGGGCCGTAAAGAATCAATTTTTGCCGGTTTTGTCGGGATTTCGTTTCCCCTTTTGTTGAGCCATGTTGAGGGGTGTTTGTGGTGAGGTTTTTAGTGGTCAAAGTTGCTGATTCAGTCGCTTTTGGGCCAGTTTAGGACGGAGCCTCTCTCACATGCGTCCGTCCTCGCCGAGCGCCAAGCCACGCCCCACTGAGCCTCATTTTGACTTGTTTTAATGACATTACATCAAAGTTGGAACAGCCTGTAGTGTGTTTTTCCAGTTTAATTTTGAGTGTGACTCCAAATCCAGACCTCCATGAGTTGAAAAATGTGAGTTCCATTTTTTAATTTTCCCCATGTATTTACAGATTGCCACCATTCCCCCACCAGTGATTGATCTTCTTCTGAGGGGGACTCTCTGGGCTCTCTGCAATTTAGGACCCCCAGGGGCCATGTGACTGGTCACATGGCCACAATAGGTGTCCACAGTGCTACCAGCAGGGAGACTGCTTGAACTGACAAGCAGACCCCCTGCTACTGAAAAAGTAAAAAAATTAATGTAAAAAAAGTTAATAAATTAAGATATATATATATATATATATATATATATAAACTTCGAGTATCCCGCACTCAATTTGCCGGTCTTGTACTTGCCTCGGTGCTGCCTCAGCCGTAATGTATATAAGTGAAAAACGAGTGCACTTGAGAGGTCTTCTTAGAAAAAATATACTTGGTTTATTAACAAACGTGAAAAATATTCAAAACGCTCAAGTCGACGTTTCAGTCCCCGAAGGACTTTTATCAAGACAGTGAAAAGCGGGAGTTTAAATATAGTGAAATCGAATTCTGATTGGAGAGTAAGAAAAGGAAAGGTAGTGATGTCATAGGTGAAATGTCAGAGTTAAGAGGGCATAAACCCCAAATAGAATTTAAACCAGTAAAATGTGAACTGGTAAAAAGAATATAGAATATAAAATAAAATAAAATACAATACATAGGCAACCGAGATGGAAAGAGTCCATAAACTCAGGTGCCAAATGAGAAACAAGGATATAAATAAAGGATTGAAAATGCCACCCAAAGTACAGATCTACTAAATGTCTAAAAAAGTTACATGCAAAAAAAGGAGGATAATTAGATAAGAGCTGGGGGAGCTAGATCCTATAGAGGAATTCAAGTACCGAGAGGAGATGTGTAAATGTGTACAAAGTCACACAGGAGAGTAAAAAGTATCAAATTCTAATTACACATAGTTATAAATACATGTAGCGAATCTACTGGGATACCGATCGTTTGAGACCAAAAATAAACAAACATAACCCTGAGTATGTAACAAAAGTCATTATCTTGTCGAAATAAAGCAATTCAGAGGATTAATCTCGTTAAATTCTCCTGGATACATTGTTCCGAGTGTAAAAATTCCATTGAACTACCTCCACAAGGGGTTTATTTAGCTGCTATTGATGTGAATAGCCTATACACCATTATTCCCCATGAAGAAGGGATATTAGCGATGCGACAGGTTCTGCTAGATTATCAGGAAAAAATTGAGCCTCCCATTGAATACATCCTGGAATTATAAGAATTATGTCTTACACTTAACTATTTCAGGTTCGAAAAGTCATTCTACATCCAGATCTCGGGAACATCCATGGGTGCCCCTATGGCACCCATGTATGCTAATGCATATATGCATATGTATGAACAGAAATATATTTTACAAGAATAGAGTCAGCATATTTTGAAATATTTCAGATACATCGATGATGTCTTTATTATCTGGTCTGGGGAAGAACAAACATTACTCAACATGTTACAGTCTCTTAATCATCTTGATTTACCTGTCAGACTTACATATCAAATTAATAATAAACAAATGGACTTTTTGGATCTTCGTATTTTTATTGAAAATAATAAGTTGGGTGTTGTGGTCGTGACCTAAATATGAATATTAATCTCTTAATACATAATAATTAAGCAATATGGAACAACATTAATATTTTTATAATTCATGGTATTATGGTTGAATATGTGGATAGAAAATACACAAAACGTTGTAATATTAAATGTATATTTAATATAACTATAACAAATAAACAGATGCTAGCAGAATGTCAATTTACTACAATTATGATACAATACAAAACTACAACATATTACTTACAAAAGGTTGCTACTTACAAGGCCCCAGCCCTTTGGCTGGGGTTAAGTCAGAGCTGGTACTACATCTTAGGTTCAGTCAGGTACAGGCAAAGAGAGCTTGCTTCTCCTAACATCTGGTTTTTATTCAGTGTAAGTAGGCTGGCCTGTGATGTCACTGCCAGAAGCACAGGTCTTCCTACACACTTCCCCTAGTGGTGCCCCCAAAGCATTACACTAAATATGCTTTACTGACATCTAGTGGTGCGTCTAAAGCATTAAGCTCATTATGCTTTTTTTATGACAAAAAGTCATTAATTAATAAATACCATTACAGTTGGGTTATACTTTGTTTGCGAAAAAAACTGACCGCAACACGTTACTACATGCCACTAGTCACCATCTTCCCAATTTGATAAAATCCCTTCCAGTATCACAATTTGTGAGGGTATTGAGAAATAACTCGGACTCCAATAAAAGGGATATTCAAGGCACATTCTGGAAAAAGCATACTCCAAGGCATTACATCTGTACACTGACGGACCCATGACTAAGAATAAACAAACTATATTAATTTTCCCTCAAACCTTCCACTCACAATCTCGTGATTTGTCAAAAATGGTTCGGGATAATTGGGAGATAATTAAGAAAGACAAAACATTACCAGTGATATTTCAACAAAACCCCATGATCAGTTATAGGAGAAACAGGAACTTAAGAGACTACTTGGTATATACTGATATACAAGCATCAAGTTGTGTTACACATCAGAACCCTGGTTGCTTTCGTTGTTTGAAATGTACGGCTTGCAACAATATGACCCCAGGAAAATCATTTTTTCATCCACATTCAGGGAAAGAATACAAGATACGACAACGGATTACTTGTACAACTACACACGTTGTATATCGGATTTTATGTCCTTGTGGTCTCATGTACATTGGGAAAACTTCGAATGATTTGAGGCAACGAATGAGGGGACATAGATCGACTATCAGAATAGCACTTTCGAGTGGTATTGCATCTACTCCCATAGCTAAACATTTCCTTGAAATGGGACACACATTGCCAACCTTGAAATTTATGGGTATCGAACATGTCCCGATTCCCTTGAGGGGAGGTGACAGAAACAAGCTGCTCCTTCAAAGAGAAGCTTTTTGGATTTTTACACTCGGAACAATGTATCCAGGAGGATTGAACGAGATTAATCCTCTGAATTGCTTTATTTCGACAAGATAATGACTTTTGTTACATACTCAGGGTTATGTTTGTTTATTTTTGGTCTCAAACGATCGGTATCCCAGTAGATTCACTACATGTATTTATAACTATGTGTAATTAGAATTTGATACTTTTTACTCTGCTGTGTGACTTTGTACACACTTACACATCTTCTCTCGGTACTTGAATTCCTCTATAGGATCTAGCTCCCCCAGCTCTTATCTAATTATCCTCCTTTTTTTGCATGTAACTTTTTTAGACATTTAGTAGATCTGTACTTTGGGTGGCGTTTTCGATCCTTTATATCCTTGTTTCTCATTTGGCACCTGAGTTTATGGACACTTTCCATCTCGGTTGCCTATGTATTGTATTTTATTTTATTTTATATTCTATATTCTTTTTACCAGTTCACATTTTACTGGTTTAAATTCTATTTGGGGTTTATGCCCTCTTAACTCTGATATTTCACCTATGACACCACTACCTTTCCTTTTCTTACTCTCCAATCAGAATTCCATTTCACTATATTTAAACTCTTACTTTTCCCGCTTTTCACTGTCTTGATAAAAGTCCTTCGGGGACTGAAACGTCGACTTGAGCGTTTTGAATATTTTTCATGTTTGTTAATAAACCAAGTATATTTTTTCTAAGAAGACCTCTCGAGTGCACTCGTTTTTCACATATATATATATATATATATATATATATTTGTGTAAGGGGCAAAATATCCATATATGGAGTAAGGATCCAGCATAAGCTTAGGATAGTGTAAAGGGAGCAAGTCGGTTGTGGTGCGCCGATACCGACAATACGGTAGGCCTGTAAATAAAGAGGGCCCACCAAGGAGTAAGAAAGTAAAGTAAATGGAAAGAAAAGAGAAAGTGTTGAAATGAGGAGTGGGTGGGAGGGTCATTCTGATGCTGACCTCAAGCGATATGAGTCAGGTAAGGGGTGTCCCTTATATAGGGGAGTGAATGAATTTAAGCCCCCCCCCACAAATACATGCAAAACTGCCTTAATACTTGTGTAAGGGGCAAAATATCCGTATATGGAGTAAGGATCCAGCATAAGCTTAGGATAGTGTAAAGGGAGCAAGTCGGTTGTGGTGTGCCGATACCGACGATACGGTAGGCCTGTAAATAAAGAGGGCAAAAATGAATAATCAAAGATTTAATACAGTCAACAAATATATACCAATTAACCAGACATTTCCTTAAATGCATTACAGTATTTAATTCCTGAAAGGATTTTGAAGGTAGGAATCTAGGACCGAAAGTGGGCACCATTTGTTGTGGGTAGGATAGTATGTTATCTCTACTGTTGGTGCATGTTGACTCATTTCGGAATGTGGTAGAGCCAATAGGTAATGATATATGTGTTTACGTACGTGGGATCGTTGAAGACAATGATCTGTCTGAGTGGTGGTGATGGTAGTGGATTCTCTGGCCTGAGAAAGGCATAAAAGGCAATGTGCATGGCTGGTAATGGCCGACTTGGTAGTATAATTGAATGGTTGTAGATCTAATAGGTCCG